CAACGGAAATATCGGATGAGTTAAGATCAGCTCCAACTGATGAGACATATGTTGACGAAAATATGTCGGTTAGTATTGGTGTCACTGGATTTTCGACACCTCTTGGTCTTGGAAAAAATATGTTTGAAGCTATATTGGCATTTCCAAAACAATCGAACTGTTGAGAACTCAAAAATTGTGAGGCTGGTTGTGGCTTTAAAGTGGTTAGAAAAGTCGATAACATTTTGGCAGTCTCTTTGCGGTCATCTTCTAGCATCTTGGCTGTTTCATTGCGGTTATTTTCCAACAGTTGTTGCACACTACCCAAATATTTTCCGTCCTTTTCATCAATTTCTTTAAGTAATTTTTCCTGCCTTTCTTTCCATTCTTTGCTGAAATGCTGCATAACTTTTCATAATTTCTCCTTTCTATAATAAAATAAAATGATTATTTGCAAGTAAATTACCAACATGTATGTATGTACATATATTAAATTCAGAGCCATACTTGCGCTTTTAAAAGTAATTGGGGCGGTATCAGTTGAAGAGCTTTTAACACTTTCACCACATTCGCTGGCCCTATACGGTTGGCTATGTTCCTCTATTGCACCGATAAAAACTGATGTATCTTCTCCTTCCGATGTTATAGCTGGGCGATGGCTAAATAGTTCCTCCAAAACATCGTAGTAGTCACATGTTTGGCGCTGAGCTCCACTTTTGTTATTATTTCTCTTGATTTTGTAATATTCGCTTTTAAGGGCTTTAAACTTTGCTCTAATTTGCACAGCATTCTTGTGGAATCCTTTTGCAACCATTTCTTTTGCTATGCTTTCAAATATATTTTTGTTCCTTTTCGTTTTGCTGTCAAGCAGCTTAAGGATATGATTTTCTCTTATTATTTGCAGCATTTCCGCTATTTCTTTTTCACGCCAAAGATTTCTTTTCTTTTTATTGTCCTCCATTTTTTCGGAGGAGCCGGCACCAGAACTGTACGCCATCTGCTCTCGAAGGATTCAATGAAATCAATTGTTGAGCGAGATTTTCATTCGCAAAATTGTAACTTACCAAATATCTGCTAATTTGTTATTCCTTTCTGATAGTATTTAATAATGATTCACCAGTTTTTATTAAGAAACGCGAATAAAGATATTTCTACTTAATTTTGTTATGGCTGTTTTGCACAAATTTTGACATTGTCTTTGCTTTGACAGCCGTGCTGCCATATAGTACAAAACTGGTAGGCAAATATTTTGGTTTTAAGGTTGACAAAACTCCATCACATACAAATATAATTGGCATGATAAAATGTAAGAAACTTATCGAGTTATTTAAAGTTAAACATTATTTTATATTGCTAAAATAGAGAAAAATTCTAAATCACTGGAAATGTCAGCAATGCAGTGAATAGGAACAATTTAAATTTTTTGGAGCGCGCTTTTCAACATGAGTTAATTGAACTGTGAAATAAATTTGGTGAACAATGATTTTTTTAGAATATCTAAATAATTCTTGTCATTGCTATGCCACAAAAAAAAAACATTCAGTAAAGCGTCAGTATTAATATATTTGATTTTGGTAAAGAATAGGGCCCGTTAAGCTAGAAATCAAAATGAAGAAAAACGGGAACGAAATAGCACTAAAGAAGTCGGTTCCTCTTTTTGGCATAAATGTAGAATACCTACAATTCTCAAATTAAAAAAAATCATATTGGGATCGATGGAGATCATTGAGGTGAACGTAACGATATATATATCTTTTTTGGGAAACAACAACTACAACAATCATTAAAAGTCAAAGTTCAAATTAAGCATGTTTTTTAATTAATATTTCTCGAGAACCCCTCCAAGGATTTGGAAAATTTGATGTCATTTGATAGAGAATTTAATTCTCTTTAATTTGTTATACATATTTATACATATATCTTTTATAGTATTCACAAAAATATAATTAATGTGGAATTCTACTTTGTGAGGGTTATAATCCATAAGCGCGGCCGAAGGCCGCCTACGCAGAAAGGTGTTCTCTGCAAAAGGTGTTCAGCGCCTTTTCTTCGCAACACAGAAAGAGAATTCTACTTTGTGAGGGTTATAATCCATAAGTGCGGCCGAAGGCCGCCTACGCAAAAAGAAGTTTATACACAAAAACCCTGTATACTTTTTTTCCACATTAATTCGATTTTTGTGAAAACTATAAAAAAGTATATGTAAGTTTTCAATAATAGTTTTGATATATAGAAAACTATTATGTAATAAATAATTACCGCGTTTGCTTTAATTACAGTACAGCATGTGCTTTATTTAATATTACGCAAATGAAAGATGAGTATGTGCTTTACTAATAGAAAAGGTGCATATGAATTGCGACCCTCAATAGTGCATGCCGTGACACTCCAATTGCAACTAAAATACCAAGTAAATTCTAATTGGACTTGTTCCAATAAGAATACCGCAAACTTCAATCTTGTTACACTCATTCCAATAAGAGCAACTCAAGAAAGGTGACCGTTAGCTGATTTGCGCTGCCATCCATACGGACTGCTCTCCCAGCAGTCAGCGCACTCTTGCATTGCAAATGTGAGCGATGCTGTTACTATTATGATGTCAGAGTAGACATCAAAGAACGGTCAGCTTACTTGGGTGGCCTTCAATGTTTTTGGGCTTAACTTGTATAAATATGTATATCAAATTAAAGAGAATTAAATTCTCTATCAAACGACATCAAAATTGTCCAATTCCTTGGAGAGATTTTCGAGAAATATTAATTTAAGAAAATGCTTAATTTGTACTTTGACCTTTAATAATTGTTGTAGTTGTTGTTTCCCAAAAAAATAAATATACCGTTATGTTCACCTCATTGGTCTCTATCGATCCTTTTTTCTTAATTCGAGATTTGTAGGTATTGTGCATTTGTTCCCTCTTTTTATGCCCAAAATTCCTTCAAAATTATAGATTACATCCACGGTTCCATATTTTCGTGTACGTTTTTACACATTCCAAAGAAAAATTACTCATTCGGGAGAATTTTTTACTCATTCAGGAGAATTTTCGACTTTAAAATAAGGAAAGTTTTTCTTTGATCCAGATATGGTTTTTTGGTTCAGTGCAGACTACGTATCATAACGGCAATGGTTTTTTTTTGGGGAAATAATAACTACTGATGTTATTGAAGTTCAAACAAGCGAAATGTACGTATTCTGCACTTGTTCCGCCTTTTTCCAACGGATTCTAAAGGAGAAAAATTTTTTTGGTGCAAATTAATAGGGCCCGTGCCAGAAAATGGAATTTTCAATACTTTCAAAATCTTATATTTCGAAAATTATTCAACCGATTTTCAAAATGTAGATATGGTTAGAAAGGCAATTGAAATACCTATGCAGCAATATGTATATATTTCGAGAAAACCTAAAAAAACACCACATCTACTTTTTCTTTTTTTCTAGCAAAACGGGCCCTATTTTTACTTATGCCCAAACAATTTAGGTAGTCAGATGAACTCGCAGAGTTTTAGCAACTGGCTTCCTAAATTGTAGCAGTGCTGGAAACTTCTAGTGGAATATAAGTTACGTACTAAAATTTAGGTCAACTCGCACCCAGCTTTAATTAGCGATATGTATTTAAAGTTCGCGAACTAAATAATTCTGTGGCATCGCTGATAAAATGCATACTTGCAACGAACAGCTGATTTTCCTGCCGTTCTACAATTCTACTGTGTTTATACATTCTTTGTAACCGAATGGAAACTGTAACGACTGATTTGAAAATTGGTCTGAAGTAAAACGATTAGAACTTTCAAGACGGTTTGAAAATATGTTTAAGAATGTGTTTTGAAACTATGGGGAACCAGTAAAAGCGTGTTATGTGTTCGTATAAACATGGTAAGTGTTCGGACACCTCAAGCTCAGTAGTACATACATATGTATGTAATTCGAAAAATCAGAATGTTATGTGGGATGACTGTTGGCAAAGGCGTGGCGGTTTCCAGGCATGGTTGCGGGCCCAGGTTAGCTCGCCGTACGGTGGGGTTGTTTCCGCGCACCTTACCTACTCCTACATAAACAAAAAAAATCATGCCTGTTTGTACTTTGCAGTGAGAAAAAGAACTCAAAATGACATAAACAAAAAAAAAAACGTGATAGCTAAAGAAGAAGGCCTGCCCAGTTAGGTGGAGTCGTCCCACCCCCTCTGCGTGCCTCGCATACGCAGCCATGGGCGTTGCGTCGACTCCTATTAACGTTGCAACGCCCCCTAGTCCTGACCTTGTATGTCTGTCCACTAATTCATCAGTCCTGTACCTGTCCTGTCAATCTGTCAATGCCCTCACGTCCCCTCTTAGGCCTGAGTGTAACACCCACACCAAACTCTATAGGTTTACCATCCCATGTTAGGACTCTTTAACCTCTCAACTGGATAGCAATAAAGTTACAGGTAAATTCATTGACTCTCCTCTTGTTTTTATTTTATAGTTACGATTTATTTCTAAATATTCACAATAAAATCTTTAATCTTATGTCTACCTACTCTATTACATCTAAGGAAATTCAAGGATTCAAAAACAATTGATTTCGCCTATCAAAATTCATATGGCAAAACTCTCAACAAAGTTAGGCTAATTACAAAAATTCTCAAAAAACTTAAAAAGATTGATATATGTGCAGATATGTATAAACGCAGAATCCAATCATAAACCCTATTTCATTAATAATAAACAATTAAAAATAATATTTAACTAAATTAAAAATGACTTCAAACGCGGGATAAATACTTCAGAATTTAGTTAATTGCAATTTCTCTTCTATTTTCTTGATTTAATATGCTTATGTGAATGCCCCTATTTCAATATTTCTAGTGCTTTAATGAACATACGCATATGTACTTCCGTATGTATATGCAAAAGAAGAATAGCCGCGAATATTTAGCACTATGGAACGCAGTAACCAAAACAAAAAATATATATTATATACGTATGTATATATATGTATATATGTACGTAAGTGGGTGTGTATTAACTTATCTTCTCACTCACCTCTAGCATTCCCACGATGCTGGTACTAACATGTAGAGAGGACGCTGAAAAGGGCTGGAAATCGACATACATGTGCATACATAGATATATAGGTATTTGCGGCCAGCTGAGGTCTGACGATCTGCGCTACTTGTTGATTTGGCCACTCGCTCGTGTTTGCGGGCAGCGAGCGAGTCACACGTGCAGTACGTTTTTCGACAATTAATTTATAGGATTTGCGTAAATTACATTAAAAAGCAGAAATATTCACCCGGATTGCAAAAAAAATAAGAAATATAACGTGAAAGTGAATTTAAGAATAGTGTGATAAGAGGTAAAATAAGGCAACAAGTTAAATAAGCAAAACCGGCATTAAAAGAAAAAACTAAGCACACAGTTGCAAGTTGTCATTAAGCATTAAAGTTACAAATCCAAATTAATCAAAATGCAAATTACTGCAAAAAAAAATTGGTTTCTAAAAAAAATCCCTTACAAAAAAATGCGAAAAACAACAATAACCAAAAGCAATGATGACGTCGTCGGTTCTGCTGCGCTGCTGGTCGCGGCGGGGCGGTTGCTATCGACTTTCGTTGGGCGATCTCGCCATTGCTGACCGCGCGACGATGTATGTATGTACGTGGCTGGTGCTGGCGAATGTTCGCTCACTGCAATTCAGCCCACTCTCCCCAGTTCAGCTTACTTGTTCCAGGTGAGTTCTAGTCTGCTCTTCACTTTTTCAGCTTCCCTCACTCTATGTACATCCAGCTTCCAAGTGTTCGAATTTTGTGCAGCGGCCGTTGACCCGCTCCCACCTCCATGTAATCCGGCCAGCTGATCGTTCTATTGTTGTTTTTGCCCTTTTTTTCCTGTATTTTGTCGCTTGCGGATGTGATGGCGAAGTATCTCCTTACGTATGTGTATGTATGTAGGTGTGGGTATTTATATATGTACTCCCTTGTAAATACTTGTTGTTTTCCCAGCAAATGTTGCATGTACATATGGATGTGTGTAGTACTTCGCTAAATTCTTCAACGTTATCGTCGTAGCTATCGGTGCCTCTTGCTCGCGCTGTGGCAAGTAGTGCTCGTGGATGTGCTATGTGTCGGGGGCACTTACAGCAGGTTGTCGTGGCTTGTATTTGAATACTTTTTCTACTGAGGTCCTTTTGTACGTCCGTACCGGCGACCTGGAAGATATTAAAGAAGTCTTAAGTACATTTGTCATTGCATAATTTTTCTTAGGGACTTTTCTTAGCATTAATCTCCATCTGCACTGGCCTTGCTATGCATACACATGTACATATGTATATACTTTTGTATACACAGTTCGGTGCGTACATACATTAGAACTTATATGCACATGTGTATGTACATGCATATGCAAATTCACACTAAGTCCCCTATATTTAAAATAATTTCAATGTGGCTATCATCAAAACTTACCTCAAATTCCAAATACTTTTAGCCTAACAATTCAATGACAACCCGTTTAATTGACGGTATCCAAATATCACGGAACCTAAAAAACCGCTAGTTGCACTTGCGCGAACCGTTTCATATTTTCTTACAAGAAAACTTTAACAAAGCACCTTCTTTTATTTTTTTTTCACACTTCAAAACTCGCGTCCACTTGCACTTTCTCGGCACCGAACTTTCTTCTGACTCACTTCAGCCTCTTTCAGTGCCGTTTTATTGCACTTCGCCTGGCCGAAGTGGTCACTCATTTCTCCTGTTCTTACTCACATTGAAGTTGTCCTACCACACACACACACACACAACACACACAACACACACAATCACGCACACGTAAACGCACGCTTAGGACTGCTTTATCGAACCGCCGGGCTAGCGAAGTTTCACCCCTTTAGTGTTGTATGGTGTGTACAAGGAACATCGAAATTATAGCTAGCTGCTTTCACATCCGGTGGATACGCAGACATACTAACACAGCCACACTAGGTGAAAGGCTTCGTTACACGCTCGTACCCGCCGGTGGTGCCTGCAACATGGAGCGTGTACGTAAAAAGGTTTATAACGCAGCCTGTCCTGGTTTTGTACCGCCCAACGTGTGGCTTCGACCCACGACCTAGAGCCGGGCTTATAGTGCCTTGCTAATGTTTCCAAGGGTTTCATCCTACTTATCGTAATCTAGCTACGTACAGTCACATTTATACGTACAGGTTCTACTCCCACCTCACAGATAATGTACTTGCTACAGCGCACACCATAATTATAACTACTAAATTAATCAATAATCACACAAATAAAAAGTCAATAAAAATGTGCATACATAAGTCAGGTAGATAAATACATATAAATAAATAAATAAAATACATATCACAGAGTTCGTAATAACATAGTCGAGTGGTAAAAAAAAGTATAAAAATAACTAACCAAAAAAATATGACAGAGTTTATGAATATGCGGTCAAGTGGAAAGAAAAATATCACAGCGCCATAGATCAATAAATAATTACATATGACTAATAATAACTACTTAGATAAATAAATAAACAAATTGATAAATAAATGAATAAATAAATAAATGAATAAATAAAAGTAGTCCAGTAAAAAAAAACATAAATAAATAGTCGGATAACAAATAAGATAACCAAAACATATAGAAAAGTACTAACTAAAATATACTTAAACACCACACGTTGCACGTTACCCTACACACATGAAACTATGCTACAAAAATATCTTTAGCATGGTATACCCCGATTCTTTTTCCACTGGTGTCACCTAGCTCATACATCGAGTTACCAATCGTTTTCAACACGATGCATTTAACATGCTTTGGAGCTAGTTTAGCATTATAATTTTCCACCTGGGAACTTTGTTTAAAATTTCGGCGGTACACCACTTGTCCAATCTGAAATTTAACTTCTCTACTCCTAGTGTTATACGCCTTTTTACTTCTTTCATAGGCCAACTTCAGCACTCTCCTTATTTTATTCCTAATTAACTGGGCTCTGTCCGCTGGGGTTTCTATGGCACAATCTTCCTCCCCAACTATGCCCAATCTTCGGTATAGCTCATATGATGCAGCATGCTGTATTATAGGCATCCCGAAGAGGGCATAGTACGGGGAGCTATTAATCGCAGTGTGTACCACACTGCGCAAAGCGAAGGCGGCATCGCTGATGTGTTTATCCCAGTTCTTTTGATTCTCGCTAATATAAGACCTCACAATCTGCAGGAGAGAACGATTTACTCTCTCGGCCGCATTAGCCTGAGGCGGGTAAAAGGCCGTCCGAATATGTTTGGTCTCGTACTTTTCTAAAAATGCATTGAACATTTCCGATACAAATTGCTTCTCGTTGTCAGAATGCACATATTCGGGAACGCCAAAAATATGGAACACTTCGTCTTCTAAAAACTTTATAACGTTAGCTGAAGTGGCATTTCGCATAGGTTTCAAAACTTTGTAAAATGATCTAAACACACAAACACAAAGACATTACCACTACACGTACGCGGGTATGGACCCATGAAATCGACAAATAAACGCTGAAAAGGTCTCTCAGTAATATGTTGTTTTCCCATCAGAGGCTTACGGAACGCGTTTTGTGTTTTGTTGCCTTTACAAATGTCACATTGTTTAACGTAGCTTTGAACGTCAGTTACCATCCCCGGCCAGTAATATTTCTCACGTATTCTGGACAATGTTTTGTGCACACCTCCATGGCCAGCAGACGGTGAATCGTGTGAGGACTCCACTAGCAAACGACGCAGCTCGGTCGGTACCCAGAGCTTCCAGGCGTGGTCCTGCTGAAGGTCATCCCCACGGTTAAACTGCGTTCGTTTGTACACGTACCCGTCCGATGTGATCAGTTCAGGTAGTTTTTCTTCGTTATCGGTCACGGTCCTCTTCAATTCTTCGTACTCTTCCGTCTTGAAAAATGGCGAGTCGAGGCACACGTCTAGCATCCGGCTACCAATTGTAATCTCTTCCATGTCGGCACGAGATAATGCATCCGGCACGATGTTTTGGGACCCCTTCCTGTGTTGAATATCGAAGTTAAAGCTTTGAAGCTTCAAACTCCACCTCGCGAGTCTGCCAGATAAGTCTTTCTGGTTCATTAACCATTTCAGACTCGCGTGGTCGGTAATCACTGTGAAGGGAAGTCCTTCGACATACGGCCTAAATCTCTTTACACTAAGCACCGCTGCGTAGCATTCTAATTCAGTGATGCTGTAGTTGCGTCGCGCCTTGTTTAATTTCGCCGAAATGTACGCTATAGGGCGCTCGTTGCCTTCGTCATCCAATTGGAAGAGTACCCCTCCCACNCGCCTTTTTACTTCTTTCATAGGCCAACTTCAGCACTCTCCTTATTTTATTCCTAATTAACTGGGCTCTGTCCGCTGGGGTTTCTATGGCACAATCTTCCTCCCCAACTATGCCCAATCTTCGGTATAGCTCATATGATGCAGCATGCTGTATTATAGGCATCCCGAAGAGGGCATAGTACGGGGAGCTATTAATCGCAGTGTGTACCACACTGCGCAAAGCGAAGGCGGCATCGCTGATGTGTTTATCCCAGTTCTTTTGATTCTCGCTAATATAAGACCTCACAATCTGCAGGAGAGAACGATTTACTCTCTCGGCCGCATTAGCCTGAGGCGGGTAAAAGGCCGTCCGAATATGTTTGGTCTCGTACTTTTCTAAAAATGCATTGAACATTTCCGATACAAATTGCTTCTCGTTGTCAGAATGCACATATTCGGGAACGCCAAAAATATGGAACACTTCGTCTTCTAAAAACTTTATAACGTTAGCTGAAGTGGCATTTCGCATAGGTTTCAAAACTTTGTAAAATGATCTAAACACACAAACACAAAGACATTACCACTACACGTACGCGGGTATGGACCCATGAAATCGACTAATAAACGCTGAAAAGGTCTCTCAGTAATATGTTGTTTTCCCATCAGAGGCTTACGGAACGCGTTTTGTGTTTTGGTGCCTTTACAAATGTCACATTGTTTAACGCAGCTTTGAACGTCAGTTACCATCCCCGGCCAATAATATTTCTCACGTATTCTGGACAATGTTTTGTGCACACCTCCATGGCCAGCAGACGGTGAACCGTGTGAGGACTCCACTAGCCCACGACGCAGCTCAGTCGGTACCCAGAGCTTCCAGGCGTGGTCCTGCTGAAGGTCATCCCCACGGTTCGTTTGTACACGTACCCGTCCGATATGGTCAGTTCAGGTAGTTTTTCTTCGTTATCGGTCACGGTCCTCTTCAATTCTTCGTACTCTTCCGTCTTGAAAAATGGCGAGTCGAGGCACACGTCTAGCATCCGGCTATCAATTGTAATCTCTTCCATGTCGGCGCG